TAAAATAGAAGATAAAGTAGAAGAAGAAGAAGATAGGAAAGAAAAAAAATTGGATGAATACTTTAAAAGATGAAGAATTAGAGAAAGTAGAAGAATATGAAGATGAAGTAAAAGCCGAAAAACACCAGAAGAATAGGAAGTCAGTGACAACAAAGAAGACGATGGCAATGAAAAAGGAAAAGAAAAAAAAAAAAAGAGAATAATAAAACATTGAAGAAGAAGAAGAAAGAGAATAAAATCTGGAATAGAAGAAAATCAAAAGATGTATGAGAGGAAGAAGAAAAAGATGTGGAGAAGAAGAAGAAGACGTGAAAAAGAAAAACCGGAAAAATAAGAAGTAAGAAAATACATAGAAAATAAAGAACAAAAAATAGGAAAAAAACAAAAAAGAAAACAGAAAAAAAGAAAGAAAGAAGAAAATGATAGAGAAAAAAAATTAAAAGATAAAAAGAGAAAAAGATAAATAATTCATATTAATTATGATTTTAGTTTGTGTTTATTAATTTTATACACTTATTAATATTAATTTTAAGGTATTTAATGTTAAACAATGATTATCATAAATTAGTTTTATTTTAATTTTGTATGTATCAAATTGTTGATTTAATTCTTTTCGATTTCTAACGTAAAATAAAATTTTACGTTTCAATGAAACTCTTCGGCCCGCGCAAGGCGCGGACTAAACACCTAGTAAATAATAAAAACCTATCTTTTTAATGACATGTGGAACACCAATCCCTTTGTGGCTTTCTTCTTTCATTCCTCTTCCTTTACCTAAATATTAACACACATTAACCTATATAGAAATAAGAAATTGGTTTGAAACAATGAATAGAAATATAACAAAAACTTACGTTTAAAAGATTTGTTGAATACAGGCCAAAGTTCCACACAGAGTTCCACACAAATTCGTCAAAGAATTGTAAAATATAATTGTGTTGAGGTTCTTGTTGGAATAAGTTACATAATAGGCAGTGATAGTTATCAAACTACCTATAGATGTGCCCAGTTCATCTCCTGACACAACCAACTGGAGCTACATATGATTACAACTATTTGCGAAGGATGTCATATCTTCTTTTGAGGATTGAATTTTCCACGGGCAAAATTTTCTTTCTTTTAATGAACAAATGAACAAAATAAATACAGCTGATATGTAAATACAGCTTAAAATAAAATGGAAGTGTGCAAACCTTATTCAATTCATTTTTCTCCAGCTTAAAACAAAATGTAGTGTTGATAAGACTCGTTTATTACAGAGGACTAATATGGGAGAAGACGGTTTTGTTTTGGAGTTAGGTATGTACTGAATCTGTTTAAATGTAAGAATAAATTGTTACATAAAGAATATATTTTGCACAAATATAATAAGAAATATTGATGAAGCTGCCTCGCAATATACACAATCTAATAGTCAGGTGTAAGCACATGTCGTGAGGTAAATGTGTAAATCTTACCAGTAATGAGCATAAGTTTACATAACCAAAGTGAAAACGAACATAAATGGAGTGGATTTTTTTTCAAAAAGATAACCTAATTCTGGAACCACATATTTCCAATTTTAGCATTCAAAAAGCATAGACATGAACATAAATAAATAAAAAGTTAATTTTTCGTAGGTTTGTGATTGTGTTGACTATTGAGTGATGCCTATTTGTTCTCAAAACTAATATATCAAGAAAAGGTAGAATGAGGAAAAAGGGAGACAGGATACAAAAAGTGTAAGAAGATGTTGAAGATCCATCATTATCCACTGTGTATTTTGATATATTTTAGTCTTTGAGGTTGCTTGTTTCCTTGGGTAAAATCTAGAGCTAATTATGTCTCAATGTCGTAAGGAGTGTAGAGAAACAGAGACTACTTCTCTGATTTCTTCTATAAATATGCATGACCCGATGTTGAATAAGATAATAAAATATCATTAAATAATGACATAAGACTAGAGTTTTTATGAAACATCAGTACTAGCTAACATGGGAACATAAGACTAGAGTTTTGTGAAACATCACTAAATAATATGGAATTTGATTATCCTAATCATATCATCACTAACCATATGTTTTAACTTTTAACTATCTTTATACTCTATGTGCAGACGTCACTTTATTTCTTTTCATTATCATTCGAAACCACCTGATAAACTAATGTGTCGTTCCACTTAGGGCTGGGCAAAATATCCGTTATATTTGCTTCGATCCATTATCTGTCTTGATTCGATCCGAAAAATCCGAATATCTGTAATTTTATGGAGCAAAGCAAATACTAAAATTCAATATCCGTTAAAAACGGAGCAAATCACAAATACTGAAAAAAAATTAAGACGGATATCCGCTCCGCTTCGGTATAAATATATATGTATATATAGATAAATAATAATTCATATAAAGTGTATAATTATTATATATAAATATAATTTTTGTGAATTTTTTGTTTATATATTTGATTATTATAAATATTAAAACTTAATAAGTTAAGAAAAAAATATTTTTTAAAAGAAAATATTGTCATTGTTAGCTAAATTTTAATTTTTAAAATTTTTATTTTAAATATATTATTATTTAAATATTTTTATAGGGCGGATCGGATATCTGGAAAATATTTAAATTTTTAGCGGATATCCGAAAAACGGATATCCGGATAGTTACGGAACTGATACGGATCGGAAACATGATTATCCGGACGGAACGGAGCGGATCACGGATATCCTCAAAATCCAGGATATCCGCTCCGCGCCCAGCCCTAGACTTCCACTGAATACTAATTTTCTTCTTTAAGATTGACACGCCCTTGAAAATTAACCATTTCACTAGATTTTAATCCCGTGCGTCCGCACGAAAATATTTTATTTTTTATTTCTAATATAAGTTGCATTTATATTTTTTGTTTAGATATAATTTATTTTTTTAAATCAAAAAATTGTTATCATATTTTAATTTTAAACAGTAAAATTTGTATATTAGTAGAATAAGAGCATACGTTAATTAAGTATATATTGATCTAATGTTAATTATAAACTTTGTTATTATGTGAATTTAGATTTACACATAAACAATCTATATATCTATGAATTTGTTAATCCATCCGTTTAGTTGTCTTAAATCATTTTTAATACCTTACATGTTTTGACAAACTAACCCGTATAAGACTATAATTATAATTGTATAACCCTATAAATATTTACTAATATGGAATATTTGGACCAATTGATTATGAAAAAATATAATAAGATATTTATTTACTATTTGTGCTATTAAAAAATGTATATATATATATAAACGGGCTAACCTGTTAGTTTAATTGTCTCAAATCATCTTAATATCTTACATGTTTTAATAAATTAACTCATGGACTTTATATATATATATATAACTCTAATTAGCTCGATCATATTATTGTATAATATAAATATTTATTAATCTCAAATATTTGATATTTTAGACCGATTGTTTATGATAAAATACGATAAAATATTTATTTACTATGCATTTTTATAAAAATATTATTTAAATTTAAAATTTTAAATTAAATCTTTCCTGTATTTAAGAAATTCTAAAGTATAAAAATTATTATCTAAATTTTCGTAATAAAATTCAATTATAATTTCTTTTGAATTTTTTGAATTTAAATTAAATTTAATGCAAATTTTTGTAACTAAATTTAATTAAATTTCTAATAATTTGAAATTTAAATTAAAGATGACCTAGATTTTAGTAAATCTAAAAATATCTAAATTAATAACTAATTTTCGGAAATTAAATATAAAAATAAAATAAAATATTATAAAAAAACTTTGGGAGTGTTTGGATGCAAGCACTAAATGTGCTTCTGTTTTAATAGAATAGATTTATAAGATTAGTTAGTCGGTATATATGCACTGCATTATGAAAGAAGCATCATATAAAGAAAGCATAAACTACAGTAATTGTATTGACGCATTTACTTGTAGTTGTAAGTAAGTCCAATAGCATTTATACAACAAACAATTTAACCACTTTTTAGTAAAAAAATATGTAAGTCTTTCACGAAAAAAGTGTTTAATTTGTAAAATTATAAACATTGGATGTTCTGTTTATATTTCATCAACACGACAACACTTGATATGGAACATGAATGAGCTAAAAGAGTAAAATCTGAAATAGAATAAAACTGTCTAAATTATCCGTCTTCTTTTTCTCATTCAAGTCGTTAGCAGCTTTAACTTGAAACAACCTTTTTTTGTACGAAAACTATGTGATCCTCTCTGAAACGTTAAACTAAACATCCGAATCGGCAAATCTAAAGGGAGCAGCATGTTTTGTCACGGAACCATAAAACAATTACCTCTATAATACTCTATTAGTTTTTAGCCCAAATGAAGTGTAGAATACACTAGTGATATCATCATATTCTCTTAATAAAAACGTACTGAGTGCAGCAGAATAGTGTCTATATACAAGAGGATATATAATCAAACTAATAGAATCAGAACAATAGCCGAGTATATGCTAACAACCAAACATATTGACATATCTTCTATATTAAGAGCCCTTGGGCCTAGAGAGAAGTCTAGGAATGGTGAAAATGCTAAAACTATAGAGAAGATGATATGTAATTCATATAACAAGAGAAGTGGATAAGGATTATCCATGCAAGTGGATAATAATTAGTCTAGAGAGCGTTCTAGAATAAGAATAGCACTTAGCCACTACTAGTATAGATAAAAGTGTTTGGTGGTATTTGTAAAATTTAACCTTGTGAATCATACTAAAGAAATCTTAATCAAAGAGAGAAATCATAAATCGAAGAAAACACTCGTTTATGTTTCTTTATTGAATGTGGAATGATCAATTATAATCTCTAAACTTGTATTTATATTTTCAAAAAATCCAACTCTCAAATCCACTCGATAAAAAAGTATGAATAATCAATTATAATCCTTAAACCTGTATTTATATCCTTAAAAATCTGACTTCTAAATCCACTCGATAAAGAAAATCTTTTATTGAGTCCATTAAAGAAATTGTATCGTGGGGGTGAACCCTACACCCCAAGTGAATCCACGTTTTCCTTCCCGTTATATTCCTCAATTCGCTTTAGCAGAATTTTGTTAATTATTTTTATCACCAGAAATAACAAACCTAAAATTGGATATGCCGAAATCTCACTATAATTATTATAAATTCTCACGAATTATTTTTAAAAACAATTGGAAAACGGAGAAAATAATGGTCTAATTACTTGATTTGATGTTTGTATGTTTAAATGGATACGCGTCATGAAAAGATCTACGTGTTTATGTTTAAGGCATTTGTTTTCACTTCTTAAATATTAAAAGGGTAAACTAATGTGTTAAAAATCTGACACGAATAACTCTATATATGAAGTAGTGTTATAACCCATTTAGTTTTGGTGTCTGATTAGATATCAAAAATCTGATCACGGTTAACAGGCAGATATGATCTAATTATGACTAATTATTATCGAGCCACAAAACCACTTTCTTTTTCTACTGTGATTTGATGGCACACAATCTAATATTTCATATGATTTTATTGAAGTTATTTGTTGATTGTCCTCTTTTTAAGCCAGTAGTCTATATATCAAATAATATGAAAATGAGTTTGAGATTAGCTAGCGATGGCGTTATTATGCGGGTTTAACAGCTAGGGTTAGCCCATATCATATTGTTTATTTTAGAGGTCGAGAATTCTGTGCAACCATGGTAGGCCTAAAAAATCCCTCTAACGATAATGTATCATAATAGATTAGACAAATTATAAATTTGTTTTGGTTAATGTATAACATTATTTTGAGTGTGCATTTTTTAAAAAACAAAATTGTGAATAATTATTTAAGTAAAGAAACGTTTTTGGTGATATTAGAAAGACCTAATGGTAGGAAAATTTGTGTGTTAGGCCTAATGGTAGGAAATTAGGAATGATATTTCAACCTCTAATATGAATTGTTTATTTTAAGTAAATTTTATAAAAATATAAATTTGAAAATTTTAACAAAATAATTACATATAAATATAATTCAAATTCAATTCACAAACATTTTATAATAACTAATTTCACTAAAAATTAGAAACTACCACCTCTAGTTTACTAATAAATCTTCAGTTTATATAAAAATTACAACTTTATCATATTACACTGTATAAAAAATTTCATAAATTTGACTAAGATAGAAAATATATACATAAAAAATTCAAGAAAAAGTAGAAATCTTATGCTGACCAATTAAAAAAATTAGATTTCATATAATTTGGAAACATTTAATTTAAAAATAAAATAAAAATATGCTAAATTGGATATAATTTGTATTATTGTCTTCATAGGGGTAAAGATTTCAGGGGTGATGTATATTCAAAGCCAGTTTTAGTAAAAAATCCAAAATAAACAGAAAGACAACAAAAATGAAATCTATAGTTACCATTTGTGAAGATATATAATCAAATTAATGATTAGGTTTACTGTAATTGTTTAATCCATTTAAAAATTGTAGATACGCTCGTGTCCCCAGAAATTTCGAAAACCCGCCTCTCCACTTTTCTTCTCCCTCTCTCTTTCTCATTTCCCCAAATCTCTCCCTCACTGTCACTTCTTATAAATCTCGGATACATTCACTCTCCCCAAAATATCTCTCTCACCCTAAAATATCTCTCTCTCGCTCTCTCAGATTCCTCTCTCTCTCTCTCTCGATTGATCTGCGAAGATGAATCCCGAAATCCAGGTTCCATGCGACGCCGATGGTTCGTGCATGAGGTGCAAGTCGCTGATTCCACCGGAGGAATGTCTCAACTGCAGCATGTGCGCTACGCCGTGGCACGTGGCTTGTCTCCGATCACCTCCCGAAACCCTAGCTCTTACTCAGTCGTGGGAGTGCCCTGACTGCTGCGGCGTTATGGATCTCGTTCCCGTCTCCGGATTGAAGCCTGACGGTGAGGGTTCGTCTCTCGTTGCAGCGATCCGCGCGATTCAGGCCGATGAGTCACTCACCGAGGCTCAGAAAGCTAAGAAGAGGCAGCAGCTTCTGAGCGGCAAAGCCGATGAGGAGGACGATGACGATGACGATGAGAAAATCGCTGATGGTGATGATGTTTTGGCCGCGATTCGCATCAATATGAACTGTACCATCTGCAAAGACTTGCTTGAAAGGCCTGTCACGGTTCGTTCTCTCTCGACATATAAACTCTCTTGGATCGTTAATCACTAGATGAAATGTCTCTTATGCATGTGATTTCATGTTGTTAGTGTTAATCGATTTCTCTTAGATTTTGTTGAATCTCTCGCTGTTGTTGTTGGATATGTTTATGTTCACTTTATAGATTGAGTAATTTACGCTCATAAACACCTACGATTATTCTGCTAGATACTTCAAACCTAGCATTAATTAGAACTGTTACTTCACTTACCATTTGTGGTGATTGTGTCTTTATTATCCTTCTGCATTTATAGATAAATGACTTTGATTTCTCCCTTTTAATGTTGATTAAGATTGTTATGCACTGTGATATGTTTAAATGACTGTAATTAATGTGCACTTTTGCTGTATTTGACGTTGTCAACTATAGATATTAAGTACGGTATTGCATGTTTTAGATGATTAATGATCAACTACTGCTAATGGCTATTCTTGTACGTGACTTTTGCAGACTCCGTGTGGTCATAATATCTGCTTGAAGTGTTTTGAGAAATGGCTTCGTGATAGGAACGTAACTTGTCCGGATTGCCGTTTCGCGATCCCTAGAAAGATAAGAACTAACCCCAGGATCAACTCTGCGCTTGTGGCGGCCATACGATTGGCCAAAGTTTCCAAAACTGCTTCTGTGGCCAGCACAAGGGTTTATCATCATATAAGCAACCAAGACCGACCTGAGAAAGCATTCACGACTGACCGGGCCAAGAAAACTGGCAAGGCTAATGCTTGTAGTGGCAGGATCTACGTGACAATACCACCGGACCACTTTGGTCCAATTCCAGCTGAGAACGATCCAGTCAGAAACCAAGGTGTTCTGGTTGGAGAAACTTGGGAGGATAGACAAGAGTGCAAGCAGTGGGGAGCTCATAACCCACATGTCTCTGGTATTGCTGGGCAATCAGATTATGGAGCTCAGTCGGTGTGTCTCTCTGGTGGTTACAAGGATGATGAAGACCACGGCGAATGGTTTCTCTACACAGGAAGGTATGTTTTTACTTTACTACTAGCCATTGATGCATTTTGATTCATGCTTTATCTGTCTTTTGCCTTGAACATGTACGAATGTTTCTCTTGCAGTGGAGGGAGAGATTTAAGTGGAAACAAGAGGACGAACAAGAAACAGTCCTTTGACCAGGAGTTTACTAAGTTTAATGAAGCACTACGACTCAGCTGCAAACAGGGCTATCCTGTGCGAGTTGTCAGGTTAGCTGTTATTTGAGAACAATTTCACTGCCCATATTTCCCGATTTAGCAGTGTGGTTTTTGCTTAGTTTTATCTCTCTTTATCGATATCAACTATGCAAAAATCATCTTTAACTCTTTGATTTCTTTCTTCATGCTCACATAGGTCTGACAAGGAGAAACGTTCTGCATATGCCCCTGCTCAAAAAGGAGTGAGATATGATGGGGTCTACAGGATTGAGAAGTGCTGGCGAAAAATCGGAATACAGGTTTGGATATGGCTAACAATCCAAATTGTTCACTTAAGCAGAGCTGGATTTTTTTTTTCCCTCACCTACTCTTCTGTTTTCTTATAGGGCTCTTTTAAGGTCTGTCGTTACCTCTTTGTGAGATGCGACAACGAGCCGGCGCCTTGGACAAGGTTTGTTCTACTTTTTTTCTCATTACAAAACCGCCATTTCCTGTGTTTACTAGTCATCCTAAACTTTGAATTATACTGCAGTGATGAGCATGGTGATCGCCCCAGACCTTTGCCTCATATTCCAGAGCTTGAGAATGCCACTGATCTCTTCGTGAGAAAGGAAAGCCCATCATGGGATTTTGATGTAAGCTTTACTCTTACTTGACTCATAAGAAAGTAACATACTACATAGCTTAGTTACCTAGATCAATTTCCCAATAATAACAAGTGTTTGATATATACATTTACTTGATCAGGAGGCTGATGGTCGTTGGAAGTGGGTGAAGTCTCCACCAGCTAGCAGAAAGGCAGTTAATTCTTTGGATCCTGCAGAGAGGAAGATCATGAAGGGAGCCATAAGGGCTGCAAGAAACAAGACTACCAGGGAGAAACTTCTGAAAGGTCGGTGCACCTATTTCTATGATGTTTAAAAAAAGACCCAAGTTGAATCTGTGCATGGCATATCTAAACTTGTCATTTTGTTTTTATGTTGATACAGAATTCAGCTGCCTAATCTGCCGGAAACTGATGAATCTTCCTGTGACAACTCCTTGCGCTCACAACTTCTGCAAGGCATGCTTGACTGCTAAATTTGCTGGGATATCTCAACTGAGGGAGAGGAGCAGTGGTGGTCGCACACTCCGTGCACAGAAGAACGTTATGAACTGTCCTTCTTGCCCAACCGACATTTCCGACTTTCTCCAGAACCCAGAGGTCTATATCATAATCTCTTCTTCTTCTTCTTCTTCTTCTTCTTCCATTGTTTATGTGTAGTGAGCATCATCCTTAAAAAAACTGTCGAATACTGCATTCAAATCGAATTTCATTGGTAAGCTTTAAAACTGTCGGCATTTGATTCCTTAACGTAGCACAAAACATGATCAAACACTTGATCCTTACCTAAATATGATCGGTACACGTCAACACGTTATATAGCGTGTTGACAAGTATTGATCATGTTTAGATACGGATCGAGAGCTTCATCTGATTTTGTATTGTGACTGTGTAGGAAGAGTTTTATATTATTAAACTCATAATAATTCGGAGTTGATTGACCACATTCGAGTTATACCAATTTGTTGTATAAAGTCCCAGTGTAATTACTTGTGTATATAAAATCTGTGTGATAAACAGGTGAACAGAGAGCTGGCGAGTGTGATAGAGAATCTGAACAAGAAAGTGGAGGAGGAGCCTGTAGCTGAGAAGGAAGAAAGCGGAGAAAGTTCTGGAGGAGGAAACACAGAGTCTGAAGAAGAAGAAGAAGAAACTCAGATTGAAGATGAGCCACCAACTAAAAAGATGAAGCTGGACACAGAAGCAGTTGCACCCATGAAGTTGGACACAGAAGCAGTTGCACCCATGAAGCTGGACACAGAAGCAATTGCACCCATGAAGCTGGACACAGAAGCAGTCGCACCCATGAAGCTGGACACAGAAGCAGTCGCACCCATTGCGACTGTGTGTAATTAAGGTCTTTTATGCAAATCAGTTAATAATACAAGAGTCCTTTCTTATTACAGTAACTCTTAAAAGGAACTCTCTTTTGTGGTTGTAATATTTCGTACGCAAAAACAGTTGTGGGAGTATATTGCGAACGTATTTTGGTCTTTTGTTTTTGAACTCAAAATGTCATCTTAATTCGGGTTATATAAGGTATTTTGGTTATGAAATTTCTATATCTTTTCTTTTTACGTAACAAATTAATTATAATTATCGTTTTGAGAGTTAGCAACTTAGTTGAGCACAAGTAGCAATGTAATCTATACTAGAAATATATAGTAAGATGAAGTTACAACCTCAAGAAAGCATACTAGTCCAGATCCAAATCTTCAAGCATATAATGCGAGTTCGCATGTTTGCTGAAATTGGGGAGAGACTCAGAGAAGTGACAACATGTTACTCTTGTGAGTCATCATATCAACTTCCTCTTGTGATTTGTGAATCGGCCACGATTGGTTTTGTTGCAGTCTTCAAGCGACAAGCGTTTGCTAAGACATATCTCACTAGTCACTAGTTTGAAAGGAGAGTATGGTATCTATGAGAAGTGTAGAATACTAGTTTGAGTTACTATTACGGAGGATGTAACAGTTGCAAACTTGCAATCACCACTGGACAACATAGCATGACTTCCCCGACAAGGATCATGAATAATCAAATATTCGATACAAACATTTGTTATGTTGCATGATAAAGTAATTTCACGTGTAGACTTTTAACTTTTGCGTATGGGGAAGGAGAGGTGCCCAATTTTCATTTATTAATATTTATTTTATATATACACTACTAGTCATCTTCGTTTTTCCCTGCTTTCATTATCTCCTATAATTACAATCGTTTTTCTCTGCTTTTATTTCTCTGCTCTAAACAACGTTTTTGGTAAACTATATATTAGCTTAAGATTTGGTGGAGAAAGGGACAAAGGGTTAAAATGAGAGGTCAACATTCTTTCAACTTGTTCTTCTTCTTGTTTATGTTTCTTTCTTATATAATTCCATGTCGTCTCAAGATATTCTTACCCGTCTCAAGCAACCAGACGACATGGGATTATAGTAGAAAGAAGCATAAAAAAGAAGAGAACAAGTTGACATAAGGTTGAGCTCTCATCTTAAGCTTACCAAAAACGGTGAGCTCGCATTTTATAATTCTTGGTCGGTAGAGACAGAGTGCTCATGTGTCATGGACACATCTTTCGTGTGAAACAAGTAACTGTTAATAAGTTTATGAAACAAGTGATTTACATGGCAGTGTCAAGACAGATCGAACATGTCATCTCTAACGATACAAGGACAGGATGTCATATAATACAGTTGTTTTCACATAATAAAAACAAATTTTGATATATTTTCGAAAAACACGAAAAATAATTCAGGTAGATTAAAAAAAAGGTCGGCTAGTGAAAGACTTAAATAACTACAATAATTTGTTACTCTCGCTAAATTAGAAGCAAAAAGGAAATATCACAAACACGGATACATAGACCTAAAAAAAAAAATTTCATGAATTGGACTAAAAACAACTGAAACCTGTATAAAGAATCTTGAACCCTTCGTTATTTTTTCACAAGCAAACTACTAAGAACACATCTCGATATAATACCGTAGAAATCTAGTCGTTGTAATGACGAATCCTCCTCCTCCTTCTCTTCCTCTTGCTCTGTTCCATAAGCCATCATCTCCGTCGTTTTCTTCTGTTCCAGACGAAATAATTGCTAATTGCTTAGCCCGTATCTCCAAATCTCACTACCGTTCCCTCAGCTCAGTCTCCAAGAGCTTCAACTCTCTCCTCTCTTCTCCAGAGATCTACGCGGCTCGATCCCATCCCGGATTGGAGCGACAGAGCCTCACCTCTATATATGTCTATGGTTACCAAGCGACACCCATCATCGCTGGTTCAATCTCATGAATCCTGATCAAGCCCTAATCAGCAACGGCTGTGAGATTAAGAGTGGGTTGAGCTTAGTACCGGTAAAACTAAAACTCTCTTCCTCTTATGCTTATGCTCGATCAAACGCAACCATTGTAGACGTCGGTTCCGAAATATACCGAATCGGCGGAAGCTAAGGAGGACAAGCGTTCCAGATCCGTTCGTGTGTTTGATTGTCGGAGCCACACTCTGCGTCGTGCTCCTAAGATGACGGTGGCAAGGAAAGGCGCCAAGTCTTGTTTCTTAGACGGGAAGATATATGTGATTGGAGGATGCAAGAAGAGAGAGGAACCCATGAGTTGGGGTGAGGTTTTCGACATAAAGACTCAGACTTGGAAGCTATTGCCTAGCCCTAGTGGTCATGGATTCCATCCGAAACACCAAGTTGTAGTTTTTGGAGCAAGGCTATACGTTGTCACCAAGCAGAACAAGTATGCCTATGATCCCAAGGAAAGAAGATGGCTTTTAGAGATGGGGTTTGGTGGGTCTAGAACGTCTAGTATCAGGTAATAGACCTTGGTGCGTTATACAAAATGCATTGTTTAGTCATTATTGCGGTGAGTTTTGGTGTTATGAATTGAGCCGTGGGAGAGTGGTTAATGGTTGAGGGTTTGGGATCTGTACACGAAGCGTGCTGATAAGTACCGTACGATTCAATTAGTAAACCATGGTGGGAAACTGGTAATTATATGGCACGAGTGGATTGACATTGTATGGAGGCAGAATGATGGGTTTGAGCGTCGTCTTGGCATCAAAGGAAAAAGAACTTGTTGTTTGGTGATTAGGTTAGAGAAGCGTCTGAGTTCTTCTGGATCGGAGGAGGTTTGGGGGGAGATTGAACGGTTGAATGTTGTTGTGCCTACAGTCCCCAGCTCATACGATGTCTTGAGCTGTCTATCCGTCTCGCTTTAATTATCTTCGAATGTGGAAAATCATGAAATGTGGAAAATCATATCTTGCTTTCAAGTAGAGATAGAGATTAAAAAAAAACTGTATATAACACATTGATCAGATCAGACGGATAATTAAATTAAATTTTGTGATATTATTCTCGCTTTCACTTTCTCTTTAGTGGAATTATCATTCACTTTTTGTAATGCTCTTCTCTTTTCTCTGAGATCTAGTTGTAAGTTGTTTAGGTTTGTTTTTCCTCTCTCGCTTAGTCCGATTTCTGATTCTATATTTTGAATTTATTAGGTTTTGTCTGTCTTCTGTTTTGGTTTCTTTGTTACATCTCAGGATTCCTTCTTTAGTTATCTGTGGTTAGAAGGTCCTAAATATCAACTTTATTTTTTTGGATATAAAGAAGTTAAAAAATTATAGCTGGCCATTATCGTTAAACGAGTGGTGGAGGTTAATAGTTTAGGGTTTAGGGTTCTGAGAATCTTTAGAACTCATGTCCAACGAGGACGTGTCACGAGGCATATTCTATGCACTTCCAGATTGGCTTAAGCAGCATTATCTAAAACGAAAGACAAAAAGCCTGCAATTTGCCAGAAAAAGAAAGTCCTTAGGACATCTCCAACCATGATATCCATGGTTGGGATTCATAGCAATTGTTTATTAGTTTTATTGCTTATTGAAAAAGGAGTCATCTCCACTTTAAAAATGGCCTCCATCAATAAACTTATATTTGAGTATCAATTGAATATAATAATAATATAATTTATAAAAAAAAAATTCATTTTTTTTCAAAATTAACATTACATAATTAAAATTACATAAAAACAACATTAGAATACAAATACAATACATGAAGCACCTAGAAAACATTAGAATACACAAACATTTAAAAAATACTGAAATATGAAATCTTAAAGGAAATAACAAAATACAATACATGAGGAGATATGTGTTCGACGACTCAAAAAAAATTTCAACTCCAAATGAAAAAACGAAACACTTTACCCCTATCTCCTCCACACAACAGCCAATGAGAATTCGCCACTTGTCTAATCATACCCAAGTGAGAGGGGTTCAATAAACTCACTCTACTCATACCGTCTCATTCGATTTGGGCTTAATAAATAATTAAAAAACGAGACCACACAAAACGGGCCCACTTATGAAACCCTCTTGAACCTCCGTTGGAGGTGGCCTTAGAGCACCTGTATTCATGATTTCTTTTGGGTTTCAACCCAACAAATAATAATAAACAATTGGGTCAGAAGGGATTTGGGTTTAAAACGTCTCAGCCCAACGAGATTTCTGAGACAGCTCATATGTGTCTCACGGCGACGCGTGGCATCATCTGAGTGGCTCGTGTGAATTTTTTTTGGGCAGATCTGCGAAATGAGCTTTATTTTCTCCAAACAAAAATTTCGTGTTCCTTCGAAGCGACTACGGCGATTGAGACCGCCGTGGTCCTTCACCGCCTCGTCTTCACCGCCGTGGTCCTTCGCCGTCTCGTCTTCACCGCCGTGGTCCTTCACCGTCTCGTCTTCCTCCTTCCTTGGTCGTGTCGTCTTCCTCCTTCCTTCGCCGTGTCAGAGCCATCCTTTCCCGGTAAATCTTCTTCTCTCCGCCGTGTCAGAACCTTTTAGTTTTGATCGATTCGTTTTCCGTGTCATGAGATCATTGTTCGATGTTTGTGTTTACAAGTTTTGATTACAAGTTTTTATCGATTGTGGTTTGCGAGATGTTTGATATTTTCAAATACTTTTGCATGTGTGAAAACCGGTTGCATGTGTGTGTGGAAGAAGGATCAGAATTGGGCAAGAACGGTTTCAGACAATCACATCCCTGGTGAGTTCGTTTATTGATTATCTTTGTTTGAGTTAGATAGATTGAGTTAGATTGGGCAAGAATGAGTTAGATAGATTGCTTGGTTCATCTTTGTTTGATCTGTTCAGATTGGTAGAAGAAACATTAATGGTTTTTTATCTGATTATTTCGTTCATTGCTTTGTTGATTTTCTGTGATGGTTTTCCTTCTGATTTGGTGAGTAGTTCATTAAATTTAGGTAGTTGAGGAGTTCATTAAGAGGTTGATGGTATTGTTCTGAAGTAAACTAGTAAATATAAACTGAAGTAAACTAAAACTTAATGGTAACTGATGAATTGATGGTGATAGAGATATCAGCCAACTGCAAAAGTGTATTCAATTACACTTTTGATAATGAAAAGTAACAAAACAATTAACAAAACATAGAAAAGTTAGGTAGCCATTCAGTGATGAATTCTGCTTTATAATGGAAACATCTATAATCGGACATAACTTCTGTGGAAGAAGAAACCAAACCGTAGTAAAATGGATATGGATTTTACCATTCCATTGTCATCATCTCAAAACTTCACTGATCTCTTGTCTCAACAAGGGATCAACACTCCAAACATCAACACTCCAAACATCTTCTCCCAACCACAATCACCTTTACCTGAGACATCTAAAGATGCAGTAGTCAAGCACAGATGGACTATCCCTGAAGAAAAGATCCTCATATGTGCTTGGTTACACACATCTAAAGATGCCATTGTTGGGAATGAGCAGGGAGGAGGGAGGTTCTGGGATAGAGTTGCTAGTTTCTACGCTAGTAGTCGTACTGTGGCCGGTCTTCCAATCAGGGAGGCCAATACTTGCAAGCAGAAGTGGTGCAAAATCAATGAGATGGTGTCCAAGTTTGCTGGATGCATGGACGCTGCTGAAAGGGCTAGAAAGAGTGGCCAGAATGATGATGATGTGATCCAGTTTGCTCACCAACTGTATTTCCAGGACCAGAAGATGAAGTTTACCTTGGATCATGCTTGGAGACTGCTGAGAAATGATCAGAAGTGGCGTAGTTTGCGTACTGTAAAAAGTACAAGCTCCAAACGAAGTAGGCTCAGTGAAGAGCCTAACTTTTCCTCAAGCTCTGTTGCTGGCTCGCCTGAGGAGGAAGAAACAGAGGAGAGGCCAATGGGTGTTAAGGCCTCCAAGGCCAAAGGGAAAAAAAGGAGGAAGAGTGAAGAAAGTGCAGGTGCAAGTGGTGCTGCAAAGCTGTTGGAGGAGCTGTGGGTCATAAAGGAAAAGGATGTGGCCGCTACAGAAAGACATGACGACAAGCAACTTCTTCAGAGTCTGATTTCTAAAAAAGAGCCACTAACCGAGATGGAAGTGGCTTTGAAGAATAAGCTATTACTTAAGATGGTCTGATCTTGTAGGTAAGTGTTTATCTGCTCATTTGGTTCTGTTTCTATGCTCATTTGGTTATGTTTATCTGCTCATTTGGTTCTGTTATCTGTTTTGCAGGATGAAGTGGGTGGATTGGTCATAAGGAGAAGTGTCACAAGTTTTTGGATTTGGGTATTATTTCGGCTTTATGTGTCACAAGGGTTTGGTGTGTCAATCTCTTGTGGCAGTTTGTGTCACAAGTTTTATGTAAGAAAGTGTATGATTTTGGCTTTAGTGTCTTGGCTTTGTACTAGGCTTTACCTTGTCTTTTTATTAGGCCAACTGTTTTTGGCTTCATTTGTCACAAGTTGTACTACGTATTTGCATCTCAATGTTGTACTTTAAATCTATTCGGCTATATAAACTCCATTGCAACTTTGACATTGTTTACAAACTTTCCTATCTCTTTCATTGTTTCTTATTTGTCCGATCATTTATCAAAATTTGGCTATATAAACTCTCTTGTTTGTATCCAATACATACAAATCATTTCTCTACAAATTTGGCTATATAAACTCTATTGTTATATCCGATCGTTGCTCTTTGTCCTCCTAAAAATTTCTTTTTCATTGTTCAACAAACAACAAAAACATGTCTTCCCATCCTCACACTTCTCACACTTCTTCATTTGATGAAACTTTTTATCAGAATTTTGATGAACATTTCCAACAAGTTTATCAAACCGGTGTTCAACAAGTTATAGACGATTACATTGAAGGAGAAGCGGGGAAAAAGAAAAAGAAAAAGAGAGCATATATAGAAAGAGAACGCGAGCAAGGACACATTCAACTATGGAAAGATTATTTTAGTGATGAACCCGTGTACCCGCCACATATATTTCGACGACGTTTTCGAATGCAAAGACCACTGTTCATGCAATCGTTGAACGACTCTCGAATGAGATACCATACTTTCAACAAAGACAAGATGCTACCGGAAGATTCGGCTTGTCTGGCCTTCAGAAATGTACAGCTGCTATTCGGATGATGGCATATGGTATTGCATCTGATACGACGGATGAATACCTAAGGATGGGTGAAAAAAGCTGCGAACGAGTGCTTACAATATTTTGTGGATGGAATTATACATTTATTCCAAGATGTATACTTGCGAAAGGCTACAGCAGAAGATCTCCAACGATTACTATATATTGGAGAGGATCGGGGATTTCTCGGGATGATTGGAAGCATTGATTGTATGCACTGGGAGTGGAAAAATTGTCCTACGTCTTGGAAAGGACAGTATTCACGTGGACATGCAAAACCGACTATCTTTTTAGAGGCGGTGGCTTCAAAAGATCTTTGGATTTGGCACGCATATTTTGGAGCACCAGGTACTTGTAACGATCTAAATGTTCTCGACCGATCACCCGTCTTTGATGATATATTACATGGTAAAGCTACACCAGTCAGTTACGTGGTCAATGGACACCAATACCGTATGCCTTACTATCTGATAGATGGTATATATCCGAAATGGACGACTTTCATCCAGTCAATTTCTAACCCACAAGGTTCTGAAGAATCATTATTTGCTACTTATCAAGAAGCAGTTAGAAAAGATGTCGAGCGTGCGTTTGGAGTGTTGCAAGCTCGATTTGCAATTGTCAGAAACCCAGCTATGTGCATGGATAAATCAAAAATAGGCAAGATAATGAGAGCATCTATCATATTGCATAATATGATAGTAGAAAACGAACAAGACCAATGCACTCAATTTGAGTTATATGCTTTCATGGAAAGAGAAGGAAGCGGAACTTCACAAATGGACTACACGTTCTCTATAGATACACCTACAAACGTGAACAATATGATGGCCAATCGAGCTCTAATACGTGAGAAAAGAGTGCATGAACACTTGAAAGCTGATTTGGTTCAACATATTTGGAAAAAATGGCACAAATCGAAACTAAAAACGACTTAAAATTGTGTTTTCATCATGTTTTTATATGTTTTTTCATCTTGTATTAATGTGTTATTCAAGTTTTAATAAAATATTGTTTTTTATATACACTAATTTTATTTTCTTTGCATTTTTTTTAAATAATAATTTTTTATTCTTTAAGACCAATTGAGTATCATTAATAAACCACAAAAGTTAAAAAGTTCATAATGGATCTCAAAACTTAAACTATCATTAAAATTAATAATAAATTAATGCTTATGAAACCCAAAAGAAATCATGAATACAGTTATGGCGATAATCCCAGTCTCATAAATCGTATAATTCTGATTATTGGAATTATGTTTTTATGTGTCAGGGTTCATATTGTTGTTTCTTGAGTTTATTATTGTGTGGAATATGTTTCGTGTTCAGTGTTTATTTTGTTGCGCTTGAGTTTGATGAGTTGTGTGGGTTACTTGATTATGAACTTGGCTTTGTTTTTTTTTTTTGAATAAAATGTTAAACTGTATTCAAAGAAAAAAAAAAACTTTTTTACAACTGGTTTCTAGCGGTTTTTGGAAAAGAAAGTTTACAAATCAAGATAGAAAAATTATGTGTTTCTTCTTGTGCCAAACCAAATGCATAGCCCGTCTTCATAATTCCTCTTCCCGTTTCGATGGAGAGTGCTCAAGCGATTCCTCATGGTGATATCAAGCTTCTTGATCAGAAGTTCTGGGGGGTGTGTGGTTCTCCATGTCTTCTGGCATTTCGCTCACACCAAACGACATGGATTGCTGCCTGGAAGATATAGCGAAGGATGAAAGTTCTTGTGGCATCATACGGCGGCCGAGTCACACGGTCGCTGACCTCTGTCCAAAGCTCTGTGAATTCAGTCCCCATAATACCTTTCATCAGCTTTGTCCATATTTGCTTCGTGTATGGGCATGAAAAGAACAAATACTCTCTGTTTTCAAGAGGTTCATCGCAGAAAACACAACCTGTAGGGGCCGATATGTTCCACTGTAACATTCGAGATCCTGTGGAGAGTCTATTCAGCGCTGTTAGCCAAGCAATAAAAGAGTATTTCGGGGTGGACCCTGAAAACCAGATTCCTCGTGAGGGTTCCCACTCTGCACCAGGTTCTCGCAGTTCCTCCCCTGTTTCTTTTGTGTTAAACTTGTGTTTATAGTCACCTCCTTTCCCTCTCCACAATGCAACATCTTCCTCGTCTCTGTTCCTTTGCTGTATAGCGATCTGAATGGTCTCCTCTACTATCTGAAGAAACCGGTTTTGATGTCTTCGCGATCTATTACCATCGAGAACATTCTCGAGGGAAGCATTACTCGGAATCCCAAAGTCCACACAGGCTCTCTTACCCAGCGTGTCCCACAAGCAACCTAAGTCACTCCATTTTTCGTACCAGAACGAGACTCTGTAACCTTTCTGGACTTTCACTCCATAAAATCGTTTTGCCAGATCCCTGTACTTAAGCACTTTTTTCCAGATCCAAGATCCTAAAGTTGTTTTATCCTTTACTGCCCAGAAAGATGTCCTCCTGATCAAATGCCTATGAATCCAATTCACCCAAAGAGAATCCCTTGCAGAAAGCAACCGCCAAATAAGTTTCAGTACGCAGACCTTGTTCACCAGCTCCAATGGCTTTATGCCTAAACCACCTTATTCTCTCGGTGAGCACACCACCTTCCAAGAAACTTTTGCTTTTTTTGTGTTAAGGTCTTGACCTGACCAAAGAAAAGCAGCACACAGCCTATCAATCTCTGAAT